CAGTAGAACCAAGGTAAGCTGAGGCCTCCTATGTAGCCAAGAGGTAGGAGACCTCTCGGTACAGGTTCCCAACCAGTATTTTCACACAGGTTAGCTATCTGTCACCAGGCAGGGACAGGAGGCAACAGAATGACTAAACACAGCTTTCCAGATGTTAACTGAAGTATAAATGTAACCCAGCAAGGGTGATGGAGTTACATCAGAAGACTGTCCCACACATTCCCAGAACAGAAGTCACCCTGACAGATGGCTGCCACGTGCCAGGATGACAGGTGTCAGCCCACAAAGGAAGCTCTGGGAAGTGAGGGCCAGGGATGTGACCATGGTTTTCAGAATCTTCTGACAAGGGGTTTCCTGTTCGCCTGCACCACAGTGGAAGTTCATCATTTCATTTGACAAGAACAGCAAATCTAAACAGGAAAGAACTCCCACGTGAGATCTGTGGTGGTTTGAATAGAAACGGTCCCCGTAGGCTCATATATTTGAATGCTTGGTCATTAGGGGGTGGTGCTACTTGACAGGGGTTGGGAGGTGTGGCCTTGTTGAAGCAGGTTTGGTTAGCGGAAGAAATGGATCATGGGAGTGGGATCTGGGCTTTCAAATGCTCAGGCCAGGCCCAGTGTCTCTCTTCCTGCTGCCTGATGAACTCTCAGCTACTCGTCCAGCACCATGTCTACCCAAGTGTTGTCATGCTTCCAGCCATGATGACAATGAACTAATTAGACCTCTGAACCAGTAAGTCAGTCCCTGTTTTCCTTTGTAAGAGTTTAAGTGACCATGGTGTCTCTTCACAGCAACAGAACAGTGACTAAAACAAGATCTGTAGTCCTAGCACTTGGAAGGTAGAGTCAGAAAGAACATAGTTCAAGGTCATTCTCAGCCACACAGTAAGAGCAAGGCCACTCAGGGCCACAAAAGAAAAGACAGTCTTAAACCTCTCCTTCCCTGCCCCCTCCCTCCCTCTTTCTCTCACACACACATAGCAATTTTTAAAATTCAATATCAATAATAGCAAAACTTTTGTTTAAAACAAGAAAACAGCAACAGAAAAATCATTATCTGAAGAAACTAATTTTTCTCTAACTCATTATTTTCACATATCCATTTAAGCCCTAAGAGAACAAATACACAGACTGTTCAAAGGATTTAATGCTATCACAGAATAACTGCTTTAACTTTCAAAACATGGAAGCCAGTATGTGGCTTTCTCCCAGATACCCCAAGCAGCAAAGAACTGAAGAAAAGCAGACAGACTGAAGACACTGGCGGAGGTAGACCAGAGAATGAAGACAGGCCTGAAGCCCACAGCTGCCCAAGCCTATGCACCTGGCTTGCAGCTGCCCCAGCCACCTCCCACAGCTGCCCACACCTGTGCACCTGGTTTGCAACTGCCCCAGCCACCTCCCACAGCTGCCCACACCTGTGCACCTGGTTTTCAGCTGCCCCGGCCACCTCCCCAAGATACCACTAGTAATCCAGAGGGCTACATGCCTTAGGTCAGAGTCAGATGCTAGATCCAATCAAACAGAGTACACTAACCATGTAAAGCTTATTCAAAGGACTCCATGGAGATCAGACTGTCCTACTCCACAAGCCCACATAAACAAGCAGGGTGCGCAGGCTGAGAAGATGGGGAGAGGGCAGAGAACACCCTGGACCATCATACCCATCCCTACTTCTCCAACGTAGGCAAGAAGCAGCTTACATTTCAAGCAAACGTCCACCCTCCCAAAGCTGGTGGACCCAAACCTCCTAATGGATGGAACCCTTATACTGCACATGCTGCCCACCTCCAGCCTAGTACACCTAGTACAAATGCCGAGCCTAGGTGAGCAATGAGCAACACAGCCGGGCTACACACCTCCAGACCCTAGGCTACAGAATGTCCGCAGTGCCACGCACAGGCCACAGGCTCAGAGGCAAGCAGACAGAATTCTGCTTCTCTTCCCATGTTACAATTTACCCGTTTTGGAACACCAAGAGGCCACACTGACACACGAAGACTGTCTTAGAGCTGGCCAGCCAACCAATGGGAACGCCAATGCACTCTCAAGTCTGAGGACCTGGCTTGCTGGGTTTTAATGACAAAATGGCCCAGAGTCCGGTTAAGGTTTAAAGCTCTGGGCTCCCCACAAGGCAGAGGCAATCCAAGCTATGTCCTTTCAATCAAGTTGCCTCATTTCTTTTCCTGAGCCTCAGGTACACTTGTATATCTATTTCTCTGTGGTACTGGGAACTGAACTGTGGGCCTCACACTCACTCCCCAAGTGTTTTACCACTGAGTCACATTCCTTGTTCTCAATCGAGTTTTCTTTCTCTTTCCTTGAGACAGGATGCTGCCATATAGTCCAGGTGGGCTCCCAACTCATGACCTCCCTGCCTCAGCCTCTTGGTGCAGAGATTGTGCTCCTCAGTCTCTGTAAGTTTAAAGAGGCCGAGGGTTGCTTTGTCTTTTTCCCAAAAACTTTGCGACTACTTATCACACTTACGCTCTAATGAAAGGAGCTTCTGGTTTAAGTAAGAGAAAACATCTACCACGTAAAGACCACATATGCGCAGGAATATAACCTCAATCTAATGTTTAAAAACTTCTCTTCATATAAATGAAAACACTTTAAAAACAAACAAAAATCTGCCACATTTGGATGTTCTGACGCCATGGCCATTACTTCCTTTTGAGACTCTAAAAGTCAAATGTTCATTGTGCTTGTTCTAAAATAAGTACAATGAATGGAAGTCTGCAGCCTGTGGAAAAAGACCCCAAAACACACTGTGTGACGTCAGTGAGAGGACGGGGAGTGGGTCCACACTGACATTACTGGAGCATTTTAGTCCTGGCATTGGGAATGAGCATCTTCCCTTCCTGGAGAGGACAACGGATGCCTCTGTCCCACAAATGGGTGTTAGATGTGACCCCAAGCTTTCTGCTGTGTGCTGGGGACTGAGCATCTATGTTGACCAAACTCCTACCTCGAACTCTGACCCTTCCCTGCCTTCATGAACTGCAAACAGGGCGGCAGGCCCTCATCAGGCCCTTGAACTTGGGTTCTGAGCATCCAGACCTATGGGAAAAGCTATCTGTTGTCTGAAACACTGTATAAGAATATGCTGCTGCATCAGGAGTGAACTGGAATGTTTCCCTGGCCTTTCCCGGTTTAGTGCCATGGCCCTGATGCCCCATTATCAATCTGCAAGGTTATGTGTGAACTGGTTCCTGCCATTATAGAAAACTCACGAGCATTAAACAGGATAAATGTAAGAAACAAGAAGTCATGGAAGAAAGTGAACCCATACAAGCATGCTCTGGTAGCCCACAAGGAACAACCATTCCCTGAGGGCTAGAGGTACCTGTTTTAGGCAGGGCGTCTCTGCTGGAACTCCTCTGAGCCCTCTACAGTCTCTAAGCAGGCGGCTGTATCTTAGAAGTCTAGCTATGGATGCAGGTAGTCAGCCAGGTCTGCCTATGACCCTGTCGGGGCTTTCCAATCTTTCAGCCGACTGGGTCAGCTTGCACTGGTGCCTGGGCCATTTAACAGTGATTGTAAACTTCGCTGTGAGTCAGAATGCATGCCTTGGAAAGACCTCAAGTGTTTCCTTGCTTAATCTTTACAGCTCCTTGGTTACCTAGGGAGCAGCGTGAGGCTGACAGCAGGGTGGCCAAGGAGCCCGGGATGCATGGGGATGGGGAAGGGAAGGCAGAACCCAGAGACGTCATGCTGCTTCTCAGGGCAATCCTAGGCTTCCTTGGATTTGTTACCAGGAAAGATGAAAAGCAGAGTGAGACAGAAGGAACAAAACAGGACCAAGTGCCAGAAAGCAGGTAACTGTGAGGCAGAGGAGGAAAGAGATGACAAAGTTCTGGAAGAGCCTGGCTGCCACAGGACGGGGGGAATACAGCCATGGAAATGTGGTCAGTGCTCACTTTACTACAACAGAAGAGCGGTCCCCACAATCCAGCTGGAGAGTTGGTGGGATATCCCAGACCACTTAGCCAAACAGTCCAAAGATTACGGTTTCTGTTTTCTGACTGGGTCTCCTGCAACCTAGGCTAGCCTCAAACCTAAAATGTAGCTCAATTCCTGAACCTCCTGACTCTACCTCCAAATGCCGAGGTTACAATCATATGCCACCATACCTAGTTTACATAGTGTTGGAAGTTGAACTTAGGACTTCATGCACGTTACAGATATTCTGCCGACAAAGCTACACTCTCAGCCCCTGTTCCCGGATTGCATTGCTGGTAAGTTTTGTTCGGGGTCTATGACCAGCAAGGCTTTTGACCTTTACCCTTCTCTAAGGATCCCGGGCCTGTATTACTCTGTTACCTGCCAATCTCCGACACAGAAGCAAGGGGCCAGAAGTGGCTTGTCATGTGTAGATTTAGACCAAAGGGCTCCGGACTGACTTCCCCCAACTGCCATCAGAAACAGGAACTTTCCTGGGGAGTTTCCTCCTAAGACCTCAACTTTTAAGCTGCTTTTTCTGCAGAACTTCTAGTCCCCGAGACTAGAGGCCACCCCTTCCTTCTGTCCTGTCTTACTGGGTTTTTTTCTCATAACTTACAGCTGGCATCACCTTCACTGACATGAGTACCCCCACCCCCAACTGCACTGTCTCTAGAGGTGGGCAGTCAAAAATAAACCAGTAAGATAAAACAGTTCCTTGGGCTGGCCCACACTCTTAGTCCCAAGTTATAACTTTATTATCTGGGGTTCAAAGTTTTTTCCCCAGGAACAGATGTCAAATATTTAAGCTTTTCATCCTGAAGACAGAGCCAGGTTGAGAAGGAGCAGTTACAGCCATGAATCTGAATACGGTGGCATTGACGGAGCTTTGAGTAGCACAGTGACACACAGGTGCCATGGAGGACCGCTCTACAGTGCCCCCTCCTCCTCTGAGCACAGGTCTGAAGGTGGAACTAGAAGCTGCTGTGTGCTCCAACACAGACGCCCACACACTGTAGGGTGGGAGTCGTGTGTCACAAAGCCCTAGGCATTTACCGTCCTGGAAGACCCGCTCCACGTTGAGCCCATAGGTGGCGCACGTCTCATAGTACGTGCACCGTTTCAGGTCGTTGGAGAGTTTCCGTGCCCTGGCATCGTCGATGACCCGCGGGTTGGTGGAACTTATGGCATCTGCAACAGACAAGGACAGTGAGCTCGTTAGCAACTGCTTCCCACGACTCTAGAACCCACGTGACAAACCTGTCCCACAGGCATTGCTTTCTACTGTTCTGGGACCCTTGCAACTCAAAACCCATCATAGCCAGTGCAGATATCATTCCTCCCAGAAGCTGCAATTCTGAAAATAATTCACCCAAAATAACAGGCTCAAGCTACAGAAGAGTGGGGGCAAGGAGGCCCACCCCTGCCCTGACATTTGGGAGGACTGCCTTCAAGGCCAGCATGAAAAGATTCATAAACCTATCCTTTGGGCTTGCTTCCTGGTGTGTCTCGAATAAATAAATATATAGATAACAATAACAAAAACAAACATAAACCCAATATTGATCTGGGACATTCAGTGACAATACAATTCCCAACAGAGGTTCCTCAGAGACAGCCCACCAGCGAACATCTGTCTTGCTGGACAAGTGCGTCAACAAATCATTTACACCAACTACGGAAAGAGGCCCTTTAGAAAGGTCTAAACATCACTTCAAGCAAAACAGGAAGGGAAAAAACAATTAGAAACCATAACTTCTTAAATTCTGTGTGTAATTCGGGAAGCACAGGCCATTGAGACCCCACCTAAGCCCTCATTTTATTTAGCCTGGGGCCCCGGCAATCCTGTAGCTGCTCCTCCCACAGATGAATACAGTTCTGTGTCACAGAGGCGTCTCTGGGCCTGCAGCTAGGCTCAGCTCTACCTGGCCCCATCTTGCACCCACTTTAACTTGGCAATTTTCCAAACCCTGCTTCTCCTTCTATTTGCAAGTCTTTGGGGGTAGAGCTGACCTAACTTAAAGAACACTGAGCCCCCTTTACCCCCGGCAATCACCCATGTTTCCCCGCCAAGAGTAGGCACAGCACTCATCCTTGCCTTAGAAGACACACTGAGCTCAGCAACTCGCCAGCACTGACCTCTGAAAGCCTAGTATACATAAGGGTGAACGGCTCTTCAGCTCCTTGCAACTTAACAACCTCTGGCCTCTAAAACTCCCTTCCCTAGCCAGTAGAAAGGAAACCGTGTACCCTCTCCTACCACCTAACCAGCCTAACTACCTATGGCCACAGTAGTGGCACAGGTGTCTTGGAAGCCCAGTGAGCATGGGTACTGACAGCAATCATGGGAAAGTCACATACAGTCCAGCTTCTTGCCGTAAGTGCCCTGAGTCCCATAGCCCATCACCAGCAAAAATTAAGCAGGGCCTCGGAACAACTGGTCCCACATTGAGATCTAAGAGATAAAAACAAACCTCGACCATGGTCAAGTCCTATGTTCACAGACAGATCCTTGACATATGACTTCCTTCTACCCATTCCTCAGTTTACCCTTCCAGAGCACTGCGAGACAAGCAGGGTCACTGGTCACAGTAGCTCTGGTCTAGGTGTGTGTGGGCCCAAGGCTTCTCCACCAACAAAAACAAACACTGGTATGTATGAGAAAATGCAGTAATCTAATCTGTTCTTTCTAGCCCAGCTGCGAGCCAAGCGTCACCAAGAGTAGGAAAGTACTGCAGTCCACAGGGCTCTTAACACACCAGGCCAGCTGCTGAGAACTGCCTGGCCAGCCAGAGGGGAAGCACTCATTCAGAATTCCTCGCTCCTGCTCCAAGACAGCTGTGGGGAAAACCTGCCCACGAGATGCACGGGCCTGAAACACCATTTGAAGGCCTTCCAGAGCCGTATCTCAGCCACGCTGCCCATGCCGCCCACTGCCATCCTCTGGGGGTAGGATTCAGGACTTCCTTAGGTACAAAATGCAAAGATGTGCCAATCCCTCCCATGAGATGGTGTGATACTTGAATAGGACATGTATTATCTGCCTACATACTTCAAGTCATATCTGGGTTACCTACGATATCTGTATAGCATGTGCACTGTGTACAACACTTACGAATTCAGTATAGACTTCTTTAAAAAACAATGTCTTTTTAGATAGAGTCCCACTGTGTAGCTCTAGCTGGCCTGGAACTTGTTACAATGACCAGGCTGGCCTTGAACTTCCACTTGAGCGCTGCTATCAAAGGCATGGGCCACCATACGAGGACATTGTTTTGTATTTTGAGACATTCTAATTCTGTAGCCCAGTCTAGCCTTCAGTGGCTATCTGTCTTCCTCAACCTCCCTAGTGTCAGGACCACACGCGTGCACCACCACACGTATATTTAGTTTTCTGAATCCTCTCTGGTTGGGCCCCATGAAGACAGGAAGGTTGATGGCACAGCAGTAAGAACCGAGGCACTGTCTCTAGGTGACCAGCAGAGGGAGCTCTAGGAACAAAGATGTCTGGTTTTAGGTTAGGTTGCCCTTTGGAGCCGCAGATTTCAGAAGCCGAGACCACTGCAGGCACTAAAATACAAGAGAGCCGGGCGATGGTGGCGCATGCCTTTAATCCCAGCACTCAGGAGGCAGAGGCAGGCGGATCTCTGGGAGTTCGAGGCTAGCCTGGTCTACAAGAGCTAGTTCCAGGACAGGCTCCAAAGCCACAGAGAAACCTTGTCTCGAAAAACAAACAAAACAACAACAACAACAACAAAAACACACAAGAGAGAAAGAATGTTCTCTATGAAAATGTAACTCCATTATTTTACAAGTAACAAACTGAGGACATTCAGTCTGTCCATCAATACACTACTTCTCCAACCGTGCCCAGAGTTTGACTTGACTGCGCTTCAACTAGTAAATGCCAGATTTACCAATTCTAACAGAAATAACAAAAGTAGTTCAAAATTGACAAAAACCAAAAAGGAACATTATAATTTTGCTTAAGTTCTTGGTTGGACTCCAGTGGCCAATGAGAGTGAGTCTGACTTAGTGACAATCACTAAGGGGCCTTGACATGGAAGACAGTAAGAACCAGAGCCCCAGATTCCCTGGGCTGTGAAAAAGCTGCTGAGATTCCTGGAGACAGAAAGGGTGAGGCTATCAGAGCTAGTATTCATTTAAAGGGACACTAAAAGTTGAAATAAATCACGTATTTGTTTTAATAAAAATAAATAAAAGCAACCTAATTAAAAGGTGTCTTGTGCAAAAGTCATTAAGGCATCATAATGCAGGAAACACTGGAGTGGGTTTTCCCGAAGCTCCTGGGGTGTCTGTGGGGTGGGGTCATTTCTCTCTGAGGTTGACTGACTTTTCCATGGAACCAATCCGGAAACGCTTCAGCCTCCACTTCCATCGTCAAGTCATTCCAAATCCCTCCGTACTGGGAACATGTTCACAAAAAACTTCAAAAACACCCGTGCAGGGCTTGCACTTACCCTGCGTCCCCACCAGCACAAGTGGAATCTCACTGGTGTTCCTGTAGTTGGCCATTCGGCTGTAGTAGTGGTAGACAGTCTGGAAACTGATCTCATCCTCCAGGCTGAAGACAAAAATGACCGCGTCCACCCACATGGCAAACTGCAGAGAGAAGAGTGGAGAAGGGGCAGCTGAGGGAGGCGCAGGAGGAGGTGTCAGGCCATACCTCTGAGCACCAGGGCGCCCCGTGGCTGCTGCCTGCTCCCTACTGCGGCTAAGACACCAAAGTCTTCCATGTATGCATGGGAAAGGGACACCCCCACTCTCCCGGCCCCGTGTTCCCACCAGGGCCCTTTACTTTCTGAGAACCCAGTGTGTGATCTTAAGAGTCGACCTTCTGGCCTAACCCTGTAGATAGAAGGCTCCCCATCTGGGGACAGGTGTGTGTGTGTGTGTGTGTGTGTGTGTGTGTGTGTGTGTGTGTGTGTGTGTGTGTGGAGGAGGGCACTGCTCCTCTGTGGCCACACAGTCTGCTCAAAACTGTCGTGGTGCCCACACTGCCTACCACCTGAGACAGATGGTGCCTTTTCTGGAGAGTTCCTGGTACATTCCAAACTCATTCAGCTCCCTGCTGGGAAATTACTACTTATTTTTAGTAAAGTTAAAAGGGGAGCAGTGAGGTTAATATATACCCAGCCCTCTCATGTCATCTTATTTACAGCAGCTCCCAGGGAGGGTGAAGCCGAGGGAGTGGGGCTCCCCGCAGTGCCCAGGAACCCACTCTCACAGAAGCTGACATGGTAGCGTCTAGATCCTATCTGAGTCTGGCACCAAACACCCTTCTCTTTATGTGTATAAAGAAACAAGAGAGCCCCTTCTCTAAAAGAAGCTTATCCTGGGTGTTTATGGCCAAAGCAGGGCTCCCTAACCATCACTGCACGCGCACACACATTAACAAAGAACGCCCATCTACAACAAACCATGCTCATTTAAATGTGGAGTATTTACACAAGAGTCTTAAAAACCCTCGTGTTCGAACGGCTCATGCTCAAGTCAAAATGACCTTGTGGCAGAGCTTTCTTGAGGCAGACCCACAGGCACTGGCAGATGCACAGGACAAAGTGTAGTAATGCCTGCACAGAAGCCCGAGGACTGTCTGACATGGTGCCTTTACCTCGGTGATAGCTGATGTCAACTGTTGACTTAACCAATCTATGATCCAATAGGAGACTGGCCTCTGAGCTTGTCTACGGGAGACTACTTTGATCATGCTGATAGGGATGAAAAGACATACTCACAGTGGGCAGAATCACCCTCTCGGTGTAGATCCTGGACTGTGTAAAATGGAGTGAGCTGAGCACTGGCATAAATGCCCTGTTTTCTGCTCCTGGCTGTGAATGTCATGAGACTCGCTAGTTCAGGTTCCCTGCTGCCCTGACTTGCCTGAAATGATGGGCTGCACCCTGGAATTCTGGGCCAGACAAACCCTCCCTCTACTGACTTATATTAATATGTCAGTGTATTTTACCACAACAAAGAAGCAACTAAGGCGCAGCCTCTTTCTGGAGGTGGAAAACGGAAGGTCTTGTCCTGTACATCAGCACAGGACAGGGGCTAAGTAAGTGGCCTCAGGGAGGTGGCAGGCAGCCCCTGACTCGAAATCTGAAACACATCTCTATCTCTATGCAGAGGATAAGTCCCCCTGCCCACTTCTCTAAAGGATCCTGCATCAGAAAATTGCAATTTTGAAGGGAAAAAAATGAAGGGCAATAAAGTAGTAGTGTCCGCCACACCCAAAGCTAACAGCAGTAACAATTAAAAAAGAAAACAACACGAACAAACAAACAAAAATCCACTGTCAGTTTCTTTTAGGAGGCCATGCCTTCAGGTAGAGTCTATCAGCAGATTTATAACAATGCGAAGAGAGAAACCATGCCCACAAGTGAGCAAGGCTCTGCGTGATGTTCCACAGACAAGTCTTTAACCAGGGGAAACGTGGACTAGACATCACTTAAGGAAGAGCCCGCACTAGAGCAAGGGCTGTGTGCTCCGTTTCTCTGAGGACACACTCTTCTCAGGGAGCCCACACTGAAATCTCAGAGCAGGACGCACTCCTGCATACCAAGTCAAGTGAGGAGGACAGATTCTGTCTTTGAGTGGCACTGGTCAGAAGCCAGAGGTGGCCGTGATCCAGCAGAAGGTGGAAAGTGTTCAGGGAGCACGCCCTCTAATACTACGCAAGCCACATTGTCATTTTCTATGTGCCTTCATGGTCTTTATTGTACGCTCAGGTATACCGTGTGATGTTCAGGTCAGTTTGACAGCATCTAGAAACACGTGGGAGATGGTCTCTGGCCATATCTGTTGGTGGCTACCTTGGCTGAGTGGGGGTGTGAAAGTCCACCCACTGTGGGTGACACCATTCCCTAGCTGGGATCCTGGACTGTGAAAGTGGAGAAGGGGGCTGAGGGGCAGAATGCGGTCAACACTCTGCTTCCCAGTGGTGGATGTGGTGTGACCAGCTGCTTCAATGGTGGATTTGGTGTGACCAGCTGCTTCCACCTTCTGGCCATGACGGACTGACTGTGCCTTTGAACTGTGAGTCAGAATAAACCCTTTCGGCCTTCATTTGTTTTTCATGGGGCATTTTAACACAGCATCAGCAAAAGAAGCTAAGATACTGCAACAATGACACTAAGGGGAAAATTTTTATCTCCGTACCCCTGACTATGCCTTCTAATGGCTTTTCATAGCTCAACTGGCAGCATTCTCCTGGACCGTGGTGTTACAGAGTGATGGAAATACAGCAACTCACAGCATTTCCAGGGATGCTCGGTGCTTCAGCATCATCTACCTCAGTCACCACTGCTATCTAATCCATCTTTTACAGGGAGAGATGATCAAGACAGAAATGTCCTGTGTGTCTGCCCTGGATGGGCATGGGCTGAGTTTAGGTCTTGGCTAGAAGATCAGGGTGTTGTAAGTTGGGTAAAAACAGTGGTGCTATCTTCCTAGAAATTTTTCAAGGGAATCACGGTACACTGCAACTAATGTTCAGTGGGGGTCTGCTGGTGGGAGTGGGGGTGCCCACTCCTGTGACTCCCAGAAACAGCAAGGGGGTCAGCCTCCCAATTCCACCCAGTGGACCCTGAAAATGATGCTACTCTGGGATCAAATTGGGGGTGGGAGACAATTTTTTAAAAGCACAGAAATTTCTAAAAGTGACCCTGACAGAATATGATAGCAGATGTATCTGCTTTTCCTTCCTTCTTAAAAACTTTTAAAAAAAAACCACTTCATGGGTTTCTAAATTCCCTTATTTTAAAACTTGAGATTTCTTGTTCAGGCTTTTAGATAAAGTCAAAGAGCAAAAGAGAGTCTGGCTTGGATGTGCATGCGGTACTCACCTGTGCCTCCGGGGGGCCCCCTTCATCCCTAATCAGCAGTAGATAACTCTGTCCATCAACCACAATCTCCTTCTTGAACCTGCCACCTGCCACACACAAAAGGCACCATTACAGAAGGCAACAGAGGATTGGGGGCAGACAGACACGGGCTTCACTTGCGGAAAAATACACTCTAGGCCAGGTGACCGCTGGGGCAAGCTGGCCGGGAGAACAGAGGAGTAGATTTTAGAAGTCTCCCGCAGTGCTGCATTTTTAGAGCTGAACTCTGATTGAAACATGTGTCTAAGAACCCGTGCTCCCTTCTGGTTAGCAGGCACGGCCTCCTGTTGCAATGCCAGGAACCCTGGCTGAGGAGCGTAGGCTTTTCATGTAGAACTTAATACATAAATCGACAGATTCTCACCCACTGGGAAGGGGGCGAGGGTGGGCTCTCAAAACCCAGAAATGCTTTTTCATGCTTAGCAGCATCTGAGAACCTGCATTCTCCTCAAGGGAAACCCAGTGCATGGGAGGAAAACATACAACAGCATGAGGATGGTGTCTCCGGAGTCACAGGTCACAGTTAGGGAAGGATGCCCGACTACTACACACGTTAGACAAAGCTACCGATGGAACTGCACATCGAGACAGAGCGGTGCAGCCAACTGACAAGCAGGTGTTAGAGACCACGTGGGGTTATCGAGAGACCGCCTGGGGCCCTGCTGGGATGTCAGGACAAAAAGGAAGGAAGACTGGCAGAGGGCGGCCCAAAGTGGGCCACCAAACACATACAGGACTGGACTACGAGGTCCGCACCGTGGAGACAGGCCACCTCCAGAGACACCTGCTCTGCTCTGAGGCGCTAGGGTGGGATATGCCATCAGTTCTTGGCTCTCATCTTGGGTCCCCTGTGTAGATGCCGCACAGAAAGGACCCTAATGAACCCACTGAACTCAAAAAAAGTTTGCAAAAACCTTCCAGAACCACTTCTGCCACAATCACAGGTCCGGGCCACCTCATCAACAAAGCTGAAGAACGAACTACATTCTCCACACCGACTCAAAGTGCCCAAGACCCTCATTAAATAAGTGGTTACGGAGGCTAAGGGGGACTAGCCATCCTTCCTATGCAAGCATACACAAATGTGAAGACACACACACACCAGCCCTCTCTCCTCCTGTCTGCACCTGACCCGACAACATGGAGTTCTGCTTGCCTGTCCTCACCTACTGAATGCGGAACACAATGAACCCTTCCAACACCACAAGACATAAACACACACTTGTGCTGAGATGTTCCACCCTGAAAAGCAAAGCAGAATCCCAGGAAAGGGTCTGGTGGAGATGTTCTGGGGAGTGGGGTCTGTGTCAGCAGGGGCAAGATAGCTGCCCCCTAGACAAGCTTGAGGACTTCCCAAATGGGCATGTCAAAGCCACAGGAGAACTCAGTGACTTTAGGTCCCCAAATCCAATTCAGCTAGAAGAGAGATGACTTCCCTTTTTAGAAGGGCTCTGTCCCAGCTGACACAGAGAAGACCCCCCCCCCAGAACAACAGCTGAAAGTTCGCTGTACCCACACTCTATCATCATCAAATCTGTTTAAACCGGGCTCACCCCCAAACCCAGCTCATCACAGTTACCTCCTCCACCTCGGTGACCCCAGCAAGAAAATGCCAAGGATGCCATCCTGGTGGGTAAGGAAATAGATGAGGGTACCCCTTTCTCCACAACCTCTCCAGCAAAGGATATCATTGGTGTTTTTGATTTTAGCCATTCTGACAGGTGTAAGAGTGTAACACAGCAGTATGAGCAGCACCGGCTGGCACGACTGCTGCTGGTATTCACAGTTCCAGCCAAGATCCGCTCATGCTTCTGACAGCACATACCAACAGGCAAAGCTTGCTCACCACGGCGAACAAACACGAGGTGGGGGAGCCGTCAGCCTTACTTCCTTGATTTTACTTCTGAAATAAGATACAGGGAACCTGATGTTTCTTGATGAGACAGATGAAGTCAAACATCAAAGGAAAAATGATGTTTGCAAAGCAACCTGCCACTCTTGGCTCTGGGAAAACCCCTTCATTCCCACCCTGGGCCTAGAGATCAGGCTAGGAACACTCACCAGGGTTTGGGGAAAACAGAATTTGTGTGGTGATATAAAAGTCTTTCCTGTGGTCCTTTGAGATCTAGCTTTAATGATAACTGAGTGATGTAATCGTCCAGCTGCCAGAGGAACCACCTCTGTGGGTCACAGCAGCTAGCAGGCAAGCCCAAGACAAGCTCTGAAGCTCCGTACGTGAGTATGTGGTCGACCTAAGGGTCTCTGGGTTTGGCTAAACAGTGGGTCCCTCCAGGGGTGGAACTCTGCCTGTGTCCTATCTTCACAAGTGCCACCTGGTCATTCCAGCAGCTCCTGCCCAGTGCCTATGGAGGGAAACTCCAGTGCTGGATCTACATGGGGCTTCTTTGTCTTGCTCTGGATGGTCTGGTCTCATGCTCATATCCACAGCAAGAGGCAAAGAATGGGACCCTGAAAGGTCCTGCAGCAGCAGCCCTGGCTTCCCCTCTCCAGACGTAAACAAGGACTCTCTCCAGTGACCCTCTAGCCAGCAAGCACCCTACACAGAGCTCCTGTCTACTCCCTTGGACCTTGCCATGGGAGATGCTTTTGGACAGATGAATCACTCTGAACCATCCTGGAATTCCTCATCTTTATAGAACAGATGCCACAACCCCAAGTGAAGGGCTCTTAGACACATCCCCAGCACTTCCAAACTGAGGAGGGCAGCTTCTTCCACCCCAGAGGCCTCTGACAGCTTCGATAACACTTACGTCCTGAGATACAGAACTCGCAATTCCTATTTCAATGCTTCAGTTCCAAGAACACGCATGGGTGATAGGATTGTGCGAAGGCTCCAGAATCTCAGCAAAATCAGGAAACAAAAGCCAACTAGAAAAAAATCGCCCTGAGATAGTGCACACAGGGACCAGGGAACAAAGATTGTGAGAAAGTAGACCAAGATTAAAGGGAACACATCACCACCTGGTAACTCTGCTGAACAGACACACCAGGGTCCGGAGAAACCAAAATAACACACGACACTTGTCTTCCACCGTTTCCCAGAGGGAAGTGTCAATGGCAGGAGGCTGGTGCCTGGCTAGCATCTCTGCACTGAGGTCAGGATCCCAAGTCAGAAATGCTAGAAATGGGAATTATTCCAGTGGATCACAACAGCTGGAGTTTGGGACCATTTGCCCAGGCTTCATCAGCCAAGCACCCTTGACCTGAATATCTTACGTTTTCTGAGAATCAAAAGTATTGTAGATTCTGGGATATGCTGGATTTTGTGTTTCATTGTTTACTGCTGAAAATTTCAGGATGTAAACAAATTCCAATTTCAATTTTATTGTGGATTTTTTTTAATGGAATCTAAATGTCATCTTTGCCCAGGGGTCATGCAAAAGTTCTCGGCTTTTCCAACTTTAGTGTATGTGCTGCCAACATACGTGCAAGTACTTACTATAGACTTAAAGTGTCTCTTTGATATCCAAATTCTAAATTATTCTCTTACAAGTCTGCTTTCTCCAGCCATACATTGGCAGCAGCGTGGCTGTCCTATGAAGCTGTCCTAAGAACGACTGCCAACTTTCTCTGACTACTGGTTATAATCACCCAACATTACATTGCACCAAGGTAGTTCATTTTCAAAAGGTGTCACCAATCCACACCTCATCTCTCTGGTAGGTATCAATAACCTATGTCACTCCATCTGTGTGTCAAGGTGCCGATGCCAGGGTTGGAGGCCTACCCTATAACTCAGACTCCCACACAGTTGCCTCCGGGGCTGGGAACCAAGACAGTGGCGCAGCCGTGTTCTCTGGCTTTAAAGCACACTTTTAAAGGTCTGATTAGGGGTGTTTCTCACCACCCTACCTCAGCCAATTTCAAGGCGACTATTCTGAGACTCTCACTGCAGAATCAGCTCCAAATCTGGGGCACCACAAGCCAGATAACTGGGTTCCTTCTGTTTCAGCTCACACAGGAGGAGCAGTCACGGTTTATTCCTCTTGCATGCTGGGCCAGGGTCCCATCTCTGTCCAGTTCTGATTTAAGGGGTAAAAATAAAAGTGGAATTTTCCTATTCCAAGAAAGGAACTGCCTGGAGTTACGCACTGCCACAGATGTCTGCCGTTCCTGTTTCATCATTCTCAGTAACTGGACTAAAAGTTGTTACTGCATCAACAGTTCTCCAAGCAACCAAGAGCGCCGACAATGCTAAGTGCCCTCTCACACCGACACTGCCAAGCATCTCACTGAGTTATCCCCACAACTGTCTGTGACACATTCAGCAAAGACAAGCCCAGGGCCTCTTGGGAGCCGTTCAGACACTAAGGTACAGAAAGCCCTTCCCTCAGTCAGCCTGCAGGAGAGCGGAACATCCGATTCCTCAACCTTCCACTCTTCCAAGTGAATGCCAAGCTCCACATGACCCTAACGTGACCCTGTCTGCAGACAGTCCACGAGCCTGTGTGTCATTCTCCTCACTCTGGGACTATGTGGAAGACGAAGGGAACTGGATTAAGTCTTCTCCCACTCCACACTCAGAGGACTATAGCTCAAAACTATCCCTATGCCTCACAGACCAAGAGGACAGACCCCCTTCAGAAACCAGGTCTTATTTGCGTTGACTGTCTGATCATACACGCACAAATGAGGGCCTGAATAAAGTTACACTGAAGCTGCGTTTAAGGCCCCTACAAAGGGGAGGACTCATTCTCACAACTGAGCCTAACCCAGTGACCCTTGCAGCAGGTGCCAGTTGGCCCAGAGCCCTGGTGCCGACAAAGGAGGAAGAACAGAAATGGATGGCGCTAGTTTCCTCCACTTTTAGAAGATAACTTTCTTTTCCCCTCAGTTTCATGATGAAGCTGGAAATGTCCCTGCAAGCATCGTGGTCTCCCTGTCATCTAAGCAAAGGGGACTGAGAAGCACAGAGGGCGGCAGGCCTCTGGGCTCTCCCTAAGAGAACAGAAAACAAACCAAATCACAAACGTGCCAAACTCCTTTAAAAATTAATGTGGCTTTTAAAACTATGTTAAGTCAGTAC